CATGGGTTTATAAATGACTTTTTGATTAATTTTTTTTCACTCATAATGTGTTTCCCATTTTTAATATTAATATAGCTTTTGGTTCACTATTGTAACGCTTATGCATCAGGTATTTACACTGTTATTTAAAATTATTCTGGCTAAATTTTATTTACTTTATAATTGAAATTAAATTAAAATTATGCAAACTAAATCAAACTATAGTTTAAGTAGCTAAAATATTAACACTATACTATGATATCTATATTATTATTATAATAGAAATTGATATTTATCTAAAACTATACATTAAATTACCATTATAATAATAATTAAAATGGAAGTTTACTAGCTAGATCAAATTATAGTTACAAAATATATTACAAAAAATACACTAGCAATAAAACAAAAACTATACTAGATACACAAACAAACAAATAAATTCAAAAATATACTCAATCAAAAAAAACGTATCAAGAATCTACTAGCTAACATACCAACCCATAACACAAACCACAAAACCACTACAAAAATACTAACCCCTTGCCTATGGACAGGGATGTGACCTGAACCCCAAAGCCACGTCCACGCGGATCATCGGGGCGATATGGTGGTTTTTCACCCTGATACTCATCTCGTCTTACACGGCCAACTTGGCCGCCTTTCTCACGGTCGAGCGCATGATCACACCGATCGAGTCGGTCGAGGACCTGGCCTCCCAGTCCAAGATCACGTACGGCACGCTCGAGTCGGGCTCCACCATGACTTTCTTCCGGGACTCAACCATCGAGACCTACTCCAAGATGTGGCGGTTCATGGAGAACAGACAGGGGGTGTTCGTCAAGTCCTACGAGGAGGGTGTCCAGAGGGTGGTCGACGGGAATTATGCGTTCCTCATGGAAAGGTAGGTCGAGAATAGTCTGTGTGCGGAATATTCTGGTATTAATGGTATGTTTTTCATGTACGCAATGGTCAGCACAATGTTAGACTATATGGTGCAGAGGAACTGTAATCTGACACAAATCGGTGGCCTATTGGACAGTAAGGGCTACGGCATAGCCACGCCTATAGGTAAGGGTAGCCTTTTTTGAGCTAGCAAATTTTATTTATCTATTTTGTTGGTGAAATATATTTTGTATTTACTGTTTGCCCGGAAGTTATGTTTACTTTATGATGAGTTTTGTTACATAACTAAAAACTGTAACCTCTAGAGTAAACTACCGGTGCCTACCATGCGATTGAACTCACTTATGGTATTCACATAATTTACTTAAGGAGTACATGAATGGGTAGAAAATATGAGTGGGTTTTAGGTTATATAATAGGCATCAAAAGTATAGTCATAAATACTATTAACTCTCTGACCATTGTATGTCTGGTTACTGTACATACAGTTAATGGCAAATATAAATTCAATAAAGGATTAGCGCACTGAACGTAATGTAATATTAGCTATTCATGCGAATAGATATATGGAG